CCATAATCCACTCACTAGTCGATAGGGAGGAGCTCTAGCTATTTTACCTTCCCTGACTGCTAGGACCTCCAATTTCTCACCCTCTCTCATGACCCCACTTGTTAGAGCCAGAAATTTCAATCCAAGGAGGAGGGGCACACAACTAAAATATCCTCCCTGAAACAATGCCACCACCTCAAACATCTCTCTCTCCCTCTCCCCGCAGAAGCTTGGCCAAAACTTAGCCATTTCTCCTTGGCATCTTCTGAACACAAGTTTTAAATTCCATTTAATATATATGAACATCAAACAAAAAGTGAAATATAGAAATAAGATGAGTCAGGAATTGAGATTGTCAAATATATTATTAAGGCCATTACCCAAAGGTGGTTCCACCATATGAGGCCTTGGGAGGGAACGACAGTCCAGTCTCATAACCCATTATGTTCTTCAAAATTCATTTACTTACCCGAGTTAATTATCAATTGTAGGAAAGAAAGAGTGGAGTACCAAACCTGAAAAAGCTGGCAGAAGATGTTATAAATTACAGAGTTTCTATTTATTTGATGGTGCAAAATTTGAAAAGTACTAAAATCTGAAGTTGGAAAGTGTGAAAACACATGTTTCAGTCTGAGAATGGCCACTTCATTCCAAATAAAAGGGAAGTAGATTAGGTCCATATACAATCCACCTTTCCAAGATCCCAAAAAGACAGAATCAGCTTTGGACCATTATCATTATCATTGATCTAAGCCTTTTTTCCAACTATTTGGGTTGGCTACATGAATCTTATTTTGCCATTCCGATCTGTTTAGCATATTTATTCTTAAATTATGAAAAGTTAAATCATTTCTTACGATTTAAATCCATGTCCTTTTTTCGTCTGTCCTCAGCTCTTTTTCTTCCATGCATTTAATCAAACCATCTTAATCTACTTTTTTTTATAGGAATAGTAAAGGTTTTACGCCAGTTGCCAACTTGATGCAACCCTCCTCCATCCAAACTTAGAAATGACGGTGTAAGATAAGGCCACACTGGTAGAATTGCCGGAATTGAACACCTTTGGGTAATGACCTTATTTGAGACAAAAAAAAAAAAATCACTACAAATTAATACTAAGGCTCAGTTTGGAAGGAGTATAAATACAAATATGAAGAGTGCAAAACCTTGTGTTTTGTACTATTTTGTATGTATTTGCACTGTACATATTAATATTAATATTTGTATTTCTTCCAAACTGAGCCTAAGAAAAATTAATTACTATACTAATAATTGAGCTGAAAACAAAATCTAATGTTATGCATAAAGAAACAAACAAATAGAATACAAGATTAAGGAAAACAACAATTAATCATCTCCTCTCATTTCTCTTTAAGGTCTCAGATGAGAAAAGAATATTTCTAATTAAGTTAGCATTCTTCTCTAGATTACTTATCCTATGAGCAACATAGGATAAGGTGATATGATGTGTCTAATTAGACTACCTATAATATAAAGGACCATTTGGCTTCACATGTTTTTAATTACTTATGATACACAATTTCTATGCCCCAGCATTTATTGAACCTTCTTTTCAAGTTATATCATCTTTTGAAAGCTTGAACATTTTCATTTAGGAGAAAGAATAGAGAAATTTTTTTGTGGAATTTGATAACTACTGAATTAGTCATTGAAAGCGGAATGTGAAAATGATTCCAAAACTTAAAAAAAAATAAAATAAAGTGCATATACTTTTTAGGGATAAAATAATTACCCTAATCCCCTGTTTCGTCATTCTGCAAACAAATAGGTCACAAGTTACTGATGGCGTTTGGTAAGAATTTGGGGTTGGGATACTCATTTTCTACATTCTGCTTTCAATCCCCACTTCCGCAGTCTACATGTACTGTCTGGAAAGAACAAATATTTCCTCTAATAGGTTTCCAAGGGAATCACCATTCCCTGAAGTATTCCGAGAAATATTGTGTATTTCCTTAGCTCATTCCCGAGGAAATACTTTCTTTAGGCTCAGTTTAGAAAGAGTATAAATGCAAATATGCACTCTAAATATCTGCATTTGTACTCCTTCCAAACCGAGCCTTAATACAGAATTTGCAAATTTATTATTAGTACGTTATAAGTTAGTTGGAAATTTTGAGAAACAACCCCACAATACCAGGAAACAATCTTCTGGAGATTCAAGAATCGCTCCCAGCAGCCCCATGCTTGAAGTTGAGAGTGACCACTTTCTCTGCTGCATAATACTTATTTTAGATCGAAAACACGTTTTTCAAGTGTTTTCATAAAGCAATTGATGTAACAAGTTATGAAAAGATCTAAAACCCAGGAACGGAGAAATATTTTCATCTTAAAAAAGATCACCTTAGTTCGTTTCTGCCGCATGATTTTCTTTCTTTCTTTCCTTTTCTCTTTTTCAACCCGACTATGTGGAGACTGGAGAAGGAACCACTAGGTGCCCATTTTGTCCACCAATTGTTGTAAACTTCCTGGGAAATCTTGATAACGTTCTCTAAATAACCTATCAAACAGACTCCCACCTACTTAATTAGATTTCTTCTTTATTTAAACTACTTTATTATTAATGACCAACTCGTACTGAATACAGGTGTTTGGGACAATTCACACAGTAAATTTTGGTTGGATATTTTATTTGATTTAGGAGACTTGATTTATAATTAGTAATTGACTTTATCTAAAAGAACGTGACCCATACCAACATATCGAAGTCTTTCTGCTGGATTTTTATTTGAATCAGAAAAAAAAAAAATTGGATTTTCTTTGTGAATAATTAAGGGGTCGTTTCATAAGTTCATAATAGCTGAGTTGTTGAATTGAAAGATTTTAATAATTAAATAATAAAATTTTCAAGGACATAGTAGTCTAATCGACTTTAGTTTCAGCTATTAAGGAGCTTACAACCTCTCCTTACAAGTTAATCTTTTTCACGAAAGACAAAGTGATAAGCTTTTCAGTTTAGCATCTTCAAGAGATGAAGTTGTTGAAGTGAATGGCTTATTCCTCTGTCTTTTAGTGGATAAAATAATTAAATAATAAAATATTCAAAGGTATAATATTCTATATCCAATATTATTTTTAGCCTTAGCCACTAATTAAGAGAAGAGCTAGCTCACAACCCCTTTGAAATTTTATTCACTAAAAGGCAAAGCAATAAGCTTAATTTTCAGTTCAACCATTTCATCTGTCATTAAATGGCTCCTAATAAGCTATGTTTGGTTTGATAAGAAATAAGAGAAAAACACAAAGTCGAAGTTAGTCACGTGTTTGAAGAAGAAAGACTCTAATCTGAGGGCATCATAGATTTACCCTTATATTAGATATCTTTCAGCCCAAGTTGCTGATGCCACGCACCAATCAAGACCATCCATCAGCTTATACAGCCCTTGGTCGCGCGATCTTGTACTTCACAAAACATTTACCTTTTATCAAGCTAAGTGATGCTATAGCTAGGCTGCTAGCAGCTTTAAGTTTCAGTGTTTTTATTTGTAAAGATGAACAAAACATATCCCTTTATTTTGCCACGTGGGATAGATAGTTTATGTCCATGTGGAGCCCTTGCAGTCACCAAGTGGAAAACTCTAATTGGGTCATATATCTACTTTCCATGGATGGTGATTGGACTACCCTAATCCACGTCACCCTTATTTCCCTTCATTAAGTCAGACCATTTATCAGGTAGATTTTAACTTTGAAAGCAGCCTCAGTTACTTCTTCAGTAACAAAATTTCCAAAAGGAGCTTACTTGAGAAGGGCCCTCTCAACCAGACTCCAGTTCTTCCAAATCATGTGAACATATCTGAACGGTTCAATATTAATTGCTTACTTAATTGGTTAGCATAGAGATGAGGAACATAGAAATTAATATAATAAGTGATATTTATCAAAAAGGTTAATTATTATAACTTTTGTTTTCTTGTTAATTATATATAGAAATCTTAGATTGAATAAGTCAAACTTAGTCTACAAAATATAAATTAAATGGACATAATAATTGAATGACACAGATTTATTATCTGATAAGAATGTACGGTTTCTGATATGGGTAGAAGATTGTACTAATATTATGGTACAGTACATGCAGTCTCCCATGCAAATATGTAGGCTTTGCATTAGTGGCAACAGCGCTTCAGTTACAATATTGTCTCTATTAACTATCATACAGGCACAATTTTGAACCACCCCCACTGTCCAATTGATGCCATCCTTTTTATTAGCATATTTTATGAAAAATAAAAATGGGAGATACTTAGCATATGCTTCTCTATCTTACTAATCTTGGCCATTCAAACAAGATACAATTGATTGAATGGTTACGATTGAATGATGTACTAGTTATATATGGCACTTGGCACTGCAACAACTTTCCAGATCATCACAATTGCCATAGTACAAGGACCATCCCAGATTTTCTCCTAGGTTTTGGATATGTTGTAGTGACCCTAGAGGATTAATTAAACCCTAGAGCATGTTTATTAGATGGGTTGAAGGTATTAATTAATAATTAATGGAATTAATTTGGGTACCTCCAATAAATAAATTAAACAAAAGTAAATGTTTTTATATTATTTTAGCTTTATTTCAAATATGGTTTTGAAACCCATCAGTGCTGGGGATAGAATGGGTGGTGCATGGCCATGTGGAGAAGACAATAAACCATGATGGTAGACAAGGTTGTTGAAAGGTTAGAAGGGAATATTTGAGAATATGAAAGGGAATTAGAAGGTATATGGAATTAGGGTTTACGATGATAACAATACAAAAGCAAACAAACAACCCTTTGGGGTCACTTAGGTCAATGGGTCTAGAGTATTATGTAAAACAAAATATCGTGACAAATTGAAGATACAATAAATTGGGAAATAAAATACTATTTTGTGTATGTGTGAAGCGAAGAGGGTGGGGGAAAAGGTATCACTAATGAGACTCCTTAACTCTCTCTCTCTCTCTCTCTCTCTCTTAATCAACTTGTTACTTGATAGGTTTTAACCCGACTTATCCGGGGAAGGAAGTAGAAGTGGAAGTGCCCATTTTAACTGCTTTGCGTGTTTTCACTAGTAAACACTTCAAACCAGAAGAGAGAAAGAGAGAGGAGCCTTGTTCTAGTGTCATTATCTGTGTGATATTCTCGTGGGAAAAAAAACCCAAATCCTCTACTTTTCATGTGTTTTCCATTTTTTATTAAATTCTTTTTCTTTTCATTGATTAACAACATATACATCCATCAATATTCCATCTCTTCTCTCCACCCCCTTTCTCTCGAGCATGTCTGTTGGTTGGAGAAGTTAGAGAGGAGTCGTCTTTCTTTCTTTGGGCCTTTTTCAGACTCACCTCCCATTCTTTCGAGCATATCAAGGTGCTTCTTTCTTCAGTCATATCTAATCAACTGTCTCCACCAATCATTCTGTTGGTTCTCCAAACGAGAAGAAACCCACTTTAATAGATGCAAATTGGGTCAGAGAGTGGTGGGTTTTTCTTGAGCTCGAGCTAAAGCTGAACGACGGCCAAGCTTTCTTCTTCAGAATTGGAGCTAAAGCCTAAAGGCATCCTTTGACAGAAGTATGTTCATTAAACCCTCCTCAGTGCCAGCTCCTGATCTTTCCTTGCACATTAGCCCCCCTAACAGTGCCCCATCGTCGATTTGCAATAACAGTAGCGAACAAGAGACCAGCTTCGACCTTTGGCGAAGACATGAAGGTCACAGATCCAACAAGACTAGTGACAGCAGCTCGGTGAGACCTGATTCGCAAGCTTACATCGAGCTCTCACTGGCGAGCCCAAGGAACGGATTGGAGGCAGAAAACCATCAGTGGATCAGGAGAAACTTCATTAGGGGAGGTGAAGAGGAATTATCTCATCGGCAACAACCACATGACCAGTATTCTAATCATCGCCACCACCTCCGCCATCCTAACGACAACCACGGCGCCTCAGTCCTTGATGCTTCAGACGGGCTCAGGCCGATAAGAGGGATTCCCGTCTATCACAACCGCTCATTTCCTTTCATGCCTGTAGAGCATTCAATAGAGAATGATGCAAAGATGTGCTTCTACCAAATGTCTTATCCCTCTTGGTCTTCGTCCTTGTGTTCATCCTCGTCCACTCCATCTTCAGCTTCTCCTTCTCCCCCTTTCCTGGGAGGAGGTTTCGATCGAAATCCCATGACAATCTTACACTCCGGGACAAACTCACCGTCTCCATCTACAGCTTATCGGATGGCAACTGCTACAAGGTTTAATGGATTATCACAGGATACACTGAAATCCCACCAACTTCACCAGCATCAGTATGGAATTGGACCTTCCGATGCATCTCATGCGATGATTAGATCAAGATTCATGTCCAAGCTCCCGACGAAGAGGAATATGAGAGCACCAAGAATGCGCTGGACAAGCACTCTTCATGCTCGCTTCGTTCATGCCGTGGAGCTCCTTGGTGGCCATGAAAGTAAAACATTTAACAGAATTTTCATCTCTAATTACTGTCTTCCTCGTTTCTCATCTCTCATTTTCGGGCTCGGATAGGATAATTGATCTGGGGGCTTCTTCTTGTTCTAATTTTCTTCCTAGATTTTCCCCATCTTTTAATTCTATCTTCATATGGTTGGTTTTAGGGGCTACTCCAAAGTCAGTTCTAGAGCTCATGGATGTCAAAGATCTTACTTTGGCTCATGTTAAGAGCCATTTGCAGGTATGCTAAAAGTAAAATCTCTCTCTCTCTCTCTCTCTCTCCGATTACTGATTTGCATCTCTCCCTCCGGCACAGTAGCCGATGAATTCAGTGAATGAATGAATGAATAAATAGATGGGTCTGATTTCCTGAGTACAGGACAGCTTCTACTTTTAGAGAGAGAAGAGAGAGTAGAGAGAGTGAACAGGAATGATAAGAGAAAAAGTACCCATCATTTCTCAATAATACAGGTCATTACTGACCTTACCAAACAACAACCTCGCGGCTTAATGAAGAAACGGAGAAATCCAAGAAAGGAAGAGAGAGAAGAAACTCTTATGACATGATTTCTGGATCTTTTATGGATTTATTTATTTTTCTCGGGCGGGGGAACGATCGCTATTTCTGATCTTTTTTCTTATTTTCTTTCTTCTTCCATCCTCTTTAATTTGTCTTTGTTTTCCCTTTTGGCTTTGCAGATGTATAGAACTGTTAAGACAACTGACAAGCCTGCGGCTTCTTCAGGTAATTCGTATTGCTTAGCCTTCAGCTTTCTTTTAGCAGCCTTAACAACCCATTCACCCTCTTCTTTATTTTGCATTCCTCTACACAGTCTTCCATCCTTCTCTTTTTTCCCACTACTCTTCTAAAACCAAATACAAAATCAGTACACATCCCCATGTACGTCGGTCCATACATAATTACCTAAATACACTCAATTTCTATTTCTCTTTATATTAGCTGTCTGCACCCACGTATCCATATAACTATACACTGAAGCCTGCCTCTCTCTCTCTCTCTCTCTCTCAATAGTAGTTTTCACTTTGATCAACTTTTGTTCTTTCATGAAGGTCAATCAGATGGGTCAGGAGATGAAGACTTACCTCCAGCAGGCACTAAGGACGACCTGAATTTGCACCCAATTGTGGATCAGAGAGGATCGTCAGATGGATCTGTGCAGCAAGATGCAGATTATCCTTACACTACTACTTTGTGGAGTGAGTCTTCAAGGTAATATCACCCCTTCTTCTGTGTTAACGTTTATATGCCTCTATATCTATATTCTTGATGCTTTTCTCCTTCATTCTATCGAACCCAAGAAATCTTTGTCCACGTGCCCTTTCGGGTATAAGTTGCCAGATGAATGCTTTTCTTTTGCTTTCGCATGTAACATCTATAGCTGAGCCTGGCAAGTTGCAAACACACGTCCTCCATTTCTCAAAGAATAAAAGGGTTCTTATGGCAGCTTTAGCTTTTTCTGTTTCTTCTTCTTTCCGTTCTTTTTTTTTTCCATGGAGATGCGTTATTTGAGATGGAATGAGTTAAAAGCAAAGTTATGAACATAAAACACCAAGGAGAAAAGAAAGCAACAACTCCTACACTTTTCTATCTATCTATCTTTTTAACTGTAAAATATATATATATATATATATATATATATATATACAATTGTCAATTTTAATACTGAAACAATATTGCTTCTTATTCTCTCCACCTGGAGCTTGCATATAGGACGAAAAAGACTATCCCTTGACTTGAGAGTACTATATATACTTTTTTTCCGTGTTTAATTAGTAATGCATTTTATATATCTTAAGCTTTGTCTCGTTGCAAGGTGTCTGCCTTTTCCATCGAAGTCTTTGGATAGACAACAGAATTGTGAGAAACTAGTGACCTGAGCAGTAGGAGACCTATACGTTTTTTCATTGTATAATGTCATGGCTTATTTGAACTATGATATGACCATGTTAACGTAGGAATATGATCATCGTTATATAAGAGAGAGAGAGAGAGAGAGAGAGAGAGAGCAATGTTGCAAGAAAATAAGCCATTTGCAAAAGGGCTTCAAGTCTTCAACCGTCAGATCTGTGGGGTGTGAGTCTATATCTGTGGTTGTGTCCGTATGTATACACATACACAAGAGAGAATATGAAGAAAGAGTGGCTTCAGAAAGAGAATGATGGAGTCCCAATGCTAAATTTGCGGAGTTCCATGCCAGAAACGTTGGGATATGTTCAAGAGCATCAGCTTTGACACTTTAGATACCTTAATTAATGAACTTTCTTAATTAATTATGGTAAGTTATTACACACCATTAATTGCACTCATGAAACTCTATAAAGTTACCCTTTATGGTAATGACATAGTCTTGGTGGCATAACCAGGCTTTTTAACCTATCAAGTGAAAAGATAAATTAATAATAAAATACTTCTTTCTCTGTATTTTCCCCTTTTAATAAGTTTTTTTATTATAAAAAAAAGGAGAAGAAATTGTCCAATTAATTCAATGAAGCTGATGTCGTAATAAAATACTAAAGATGTTAATACAGTGATACGAATATATGATGAAACCAATTAGTAGTTGGGAATATATATATATATATATATATATATATATATATGTACCTTTCAAGTTTTCCAATGCATTTATTTTTATTTAAATCATTTTGGCAATTTAGATTAGAGTCCAATTATAATGCAAAAGTTGCACAATAAAGAAAAAAAATGTAACTAATCATGTTAAAGGTGTAACATGGTCAAACTTTTTATTAGTTCATGTTTCATAAGGTATACTTACTAATCACGTTAAAAGACTATCAATATTAAAAATGTTACTTGTGACATTTCACAAGGTATAGTTTCTACATCACACATAGATTTTAACTTTAGATTATTATTTTTTTATAATATGCTACTTAATTATTAAATAGAATCACATTGTAAATATATAGATCAGAAAGACAACAACAAAGTTACTCAAATACTTGGTCCTCTTGGTATGTTGGGGAGAAATGTTAAAATTTGAATTAAGTTTACCTTCGGCCAAATAATCCTTTTAAAAGGCCATTACCAAATGTTGGTCCCAATCATTTGGGGTCTCGGGAGGGGTGGACAAGAACTTTATTCTTAGACCTAAACCTGTGTTCCTACGCTTGGCAGCCTAAGATTTTACCATTACAACAAGCAATGGCCCTTTGACAAGTAATCCTTTTGTTGAATTGAATTTAGGTTGTCTTAATCTACAATGGAATGGATCAATTAGGTTAGTAATAATTGTATTTGAAGCCTTCATTAGGAATATGGTCAGAATTTGAGTAATCCTGTTATTATAACTCAAGTTTGATCTTGATAAGTTCTCATTAGGAAAACTCTCAATGTGCTTGAACCAAAAAGCTCTTCTTTTGGTAAATTTGTCTTCTAGAAGGATTAAAAGTAAAAGCTACCTTCCCTATATATTTAAAACAATGTGTATTAGTAAAAAGCACAAGGTAATCAAGATACTTGCTTAATTAATTACATCTATTAATTAATCCTATGATAAGTCAAAATGTGGTTAACAAGTGGAGTCATAAAAGAAATAGTTAAACTTTCATGAATGTTAAAATATATTTGGATGAACAATCCATTGGGTAAAGTGCCAAAATAAAAAAAAAAAAAGTATAGTCCATTGGCGAGATAGATTGTGCTAAACTAACAAATGAAAGGAGTTGGTTTTCTAGAGCAAAGGGAGGCCTCCATTCAAGTAGTAATAGGGTCTAATAGAGTTATCGTGAAGAACATCAGTGTGGCAGAGGAAGAAGAATTTTTGCTATTCTACCAGTTCTTCAACTAGCTCTTCCTCAGGCAAACCATACCAGGAGTTCTTAAGAGGAACAAGAAGTGGATACTCTTGCTCCCACTTAGAAAGGCTTCTCTAGCCCAAGCTTCTCCTACTATAAAAGATAATCCCATACATTTGCCATTTAGATATCATCTTCGACTCTTTGCTCTTTAGATAATCTTGGAGCGAGTGAAATATCCAATCCTTCAATGGAATTTTCCTAAGAAAACACTAACTACTGACTCAATTTTGGGATAGCCAAGCTAGTATTGCACCATTCTGAAAGGACCCTAGAAATTAAGTGGACAAAGGATCGCTTCCTTGCCTTTTGCCTAAGATTAAACTTGACCAAAAGCTTTTTCTTCCTCTTAAACCCCCTAAAACCCTTTCTTTCCTTATAAACTCTCTTTGAACTTCCCAGAATTCTTAAGAAATTTCTAGCTAGTTGTCTTTAACTTGATCTCTCTTAGCACCCAAGACTGATTTCAACTTTTTCCATCTGTTTCTTCCTATTAAACCCCATAAAACCTTTCCTTCCCTTCTTATCAATTTTCTTTGAACTGGCCAAAATTCTTAGGAAATTTCTAGCCAGCTATGTTTAGCTTGACCTTTCTTAGGACCCAAGACTAATTTCAACCTTTCCCAGACTGTTGAAAGAAGTACAAGAGCCCCTACCAAAGTATTACTCCCAGGTCCAAAGCTTGAGTGAAAACCTGGCCCACGCTACATTGTAGGGCCCAATTTGGCAACAAAACTTCGAGAATAACAGATGCATGCCCGAACAGTCCTCAAAACTTTCCACCAAACTTTTTGAATTTAAATTTTAGTTTGAACTTGAATCTAACCTGACTTCACTAGGCCTACCTTCCCTAATGCTCCAGCAAAGTTCTCCTTCAACTATGAAACACTAACACCTCCACCATCCTGAAATGAGCTACAATCTGATGAGTGTCTAGCGGTAACTGATGTTGCTCATCCACCTCAGCTCAGACAGCATCAGATTTGCAATGTTTGTGGAAATTCAAAAAAAGAACATCTTCTCTCTCACATATGACGACAATGCCTTCTAAGAACTACTCCGCTAGTCTCCCTGGTAACAACTCTACCAAAGAAACTCACACTAGCAACCGCGTCTCTTCCATTCATGATCCCCAGAATCAGGTAGTGATGCAAGAGTAGTTTGACTCACAACAACCGACCCAGGTACAAATGCTACTAGCTCATCTGCCAATGCCCAAGCTAACCTCATCACAATGGCCAACCTGGGTGTGAATACTACTAGCTCATCCACCAATGGCTAAGCCAACCTCATCACAATGGCCAACCTAGGTGCAAAATGCTACCAGCTCATCTGCCAATGGCCGAGCTAACCTCATTACAATGGCCGACCTCGATGTGAATGCTATCAACTCCTCCACCATAGATCGAGCACTAACAATGCTAACCACTAATGGTACCAAGAACTAATGACATCAAATTTTATTGGTGTTGAGTACTAACGACACTGATCACTGATAGCGCTGACATTCAATGGCACTAAACACTAATGATGTCAAGCGCTAACAACATCGAGTTCTAATGATCTCGAGCACTAACGACACCAAGCCCTAACGATGCTGACCACTAATGGCACCAAGCGTTAACAATGCCAAACACTAATGACACTAAGCGCTAACAACATCGAATTCTAACAATGCCAAGCCTTGACAATGTCAGGCTCTAATGGCATCAGTAACTATGGCGGCATTCTCGCTAGATTCCTTACTAAGATTAACACTAAGGCTGCGCTTGGTTTGAAGGAAAAAGTAGGGAAAGGAAAGGAAAGGTAGGGAAACCCATACAAGGTTTGTAAAGGTTTCCCTACCTTTCCCTTCCTTTCCCTACTTTTTCCTTTAAACTGAACATAGCCTAAAGGGAAAGCAAATAGCAATGAAGTACCCAACCCTCTCTAAGGGATTCCCTCCCTTGTCTCTCCCTTTGACATATGCCTTGTCTACGTCAATGAACTTGCCTACCCCTTCCTAGCAATGGACTGGATCATGATCCAATCTGATCTTATTTGGTCGAATTTGGATCACCTCTGATCGGATCTTTGGATTGGATCGTATCATGATCCGATCATAAATTGGATAAGATTTGGATCGCCCCCCTATCCGATCGAAGAAGATCCGATCTGATATATATACACACACATACATATACATACATATATACATATATGTTATTATTTATTTATAAGTTTATTTTTATATTATATTTTTATAAATTTTTTATATTATTTATTTTTATAAAAAACATGTATATATATGACAAAAATAATTAAAAATTACTTGTATTTTTTTGTTTTTACTTTATTTAAATTAATATAATTTATTTTTCTTTTAATAATTTATTAATTTTTAAGGAAAATAAGTCAGATTGGATCAAATCCGAAGATCTGACTTACCGAATTCAAATCGAGTCCTATCAGATCCAAACGGATCTTCGGATCGGATCGGATCCGACATGAACAATGTCGGGTCGTGTTCGAATATCCCTATTCCTAGCAAAACTAGATAAGTTTGAATTTCTAAGGCCACCCTACTCAGAGTGGGGAGAACCATCCATGAAAACACTTAGAAATTTGATATGATCCTAGTATACACTTGCATAAGAACTATAGTAATAGTGTAGATCAATTGGGTTAGTCTAGAATCATTGGTAGTCTTATATTTTCAATGGACTGCTTTCAGCCTGGTATTACTTATGTGGTAGATAGGTTAAGCAAATATGCTCATGACCTTAACCGTGACCCTTGGGTTGTTATTAGAGTCTTGAGGTACCTTAAAGGTACCATAGACCTTGGTCTTCACTATATAGGTTTTCTAGGTTACTCAAAGGGTATACCAATGCTAATTGGATAATGGACACTAGTGAATCTAAATCTACCAGTGGATATGTATTTACCTTAGTTGGTGCAGCAGTCTCTTAGTAGACATGTACAACTATGGAGTCTGAGTTCATTGTCTTAGATAATGCAGGAGAGGAGGTTGAGAGGCTTTGGAACATCTTGGCATGTATATTATTTTTCGTTAAACCTAACTCTATAGGTTCACAAATGCGCTGGCAAAGGGAGATGTAGAAGAGGCAAAGGAAGAAGCTGTGTCAGGGTCTATGTCCTGTCTGTGTTTTCTTTTTGAGTTTGCTTCCGGGTTCCTGCTTTTGTGGTTGTTTTATTTGGGCCTAGCCTGCCTTTATCGGGTTGGGTCCAGAACTTGCTTTTTTGGGTTTGGTGTCGGTTCCTTTATTTTTTCTTTGGACCTAGATCTGTTTAGGTATTTTAAGGTTTTGGTTCTGGGCTCTTTTGGGCGAGGCCTTTTTTTTTTCTTGCTCTTTATATACATCTTGTATACTTCCTCTTTTAATAATGTTACTTTACCACTTTCAAAAAAGTATCTATATATTGTGATTGTCAAATTACTATAGATTGAGTGAAGAATCATATATATAATGGTAAAAGTAGGCATGTACGCTTTAGACACAATACTCCGACGTAGCTTATGAGCAATGGAGTAATTTCTCTTTAACTTTGTAAGTCAGAAAAAATTTAGCACATCCTTTGACCAAACCAGTGTCTAAGGGGGAAATGAGTGAGACATTGAGGAGATGGGACTAAAACCCATTACTTAACTTACTAGTGACTGCAACACGACGTATGTGAATGGAGATCCAAAGAAGTAGGTTCCATGGATAAAAGCAATTTACGATGTAGATGAGGATAGCACTATCATTTATGATTTATGAATATAACTCAGGGTCCCTTCCTATGGTATTCTGATAGAGCAAACTGTTACAGTAAGAGAGATTAAGAACGGTTCAGTATATTTTCTTAACGAGTCTATAGCCCATGTGGGTGGTGTAGTGTTATAGTCACATTTGGTAGACTCACACTTACCTACTTGAGTATGAGAATGGTCTCATTCTTTTTGAGAATTGGGTCTTATTCTCTAGAGCAGTTTTGAGCATCACCAAATTTTTGTGAATCCTATTGTGCTGTTAACACTAGTGCAGATTTAAGTCCAAAAGACATTAACATGATGCACTAGTACTGTTTCGATTCTTTATGTCATGCATAAAACTTTTTTTTTCCTTTTAACATATTGAATTTGTGGGGGGTTGTTGTTTTTAAATTCAAATTGTTTCATTCTCTTGGTGTCCCTTGTCCCACATCAGCTGGGCACAATTGGGAGAGTGCACATTTCATTAGCCTTGCAACTCTTTAAATGGCTTGTGATGTCTAAGAGGATGGACCAGCTGGAGTACCATGCATGTGCATTGGGCCAAGCCGGGCTGGGCTATCACACATGCATGGTACCACAGCATACCGAGCCATGTGTGTGGGTCTTCAGCTCACTATGTACTCGAATTTGGCCTGAACCTTGAAGATTATCAAGTCAAATTGGGCTTGGCTCAAATCAACTAGTTAGTTGAACCGAGTTCAAGCTTTGTAATACCTGGCTCGCATAGCTCATCACCCTAATCGAGCTTCTAATAAAATATTATTTTTCAATATATTTTTATTTATAATATAATTATAAATATTAATTTTTATATGAATTTATTTATAATTTTTAATAGAAAATTATTTATAATAGGTTCGTGCCAAGTCAAGCTAAAGTAGCTCACAAGTATTGACTCAAGTCTAATTCTAGTATGAAACTCAAAACTCGATTAAGATCGAGTCAAGTTTCAAGCACTAACTTTTTAAGTGGAGATTGGGCTCGAGATACCCAAAACTCGACTCAACTCAGCTCGATTACACCCCTAGTTGATGCCTAGAGGTTGATGCGGATGTCACCCTTTTGCATCATGATCAAGAACCCAGTTATGGGCAAATCGACTTCAAAGACAATGGTTCCATCCATACCTCAACTAATAAAGGATTAATGATATCTCAATTCTAACTTTATATTGCAGACAAAAATATATTTCGGTTTCTATAATATTCATGCTTTATTTCAAGCATTATATCCAACATCTAAAAAAGAATATGCTTGACAAGACTTATTTGATCTATAAATGCCTCATGAGATGGTTAGCATGTTTGAGAGATGATGGCTTGAAGGTGCATGAAAAATGGGAATCCACTTATACTTTTACCAAAGAATCCGCTAGTTGATTAGCTTCTCTCTATGCACGAGTGGCTTCAAATTATCATCCCATAGTAATTTTCTCCAAATCACTAGCTTTATATCACAAACTCCACTTCCATCAAATGTACAAGGATCTATAATTCGAAAACTATGGTGTTGACAACATCATATATAGATGCCCTAATAACCGTGTAGTAGTATGTTCCCATCTCAGATTGTCATTCATTTGTACTGGTTGTTCATCAGTTCAATGTCACGACCCGACTCTCACTGTTGGGGTGGAACACCAAGCTCTGTTTTGAGTTTTGACATCCAATTTGGTCTAAGGTCGTTGCTTGTCATGGTCATGCTAGTGAACAAACAAGTTTACTTTATCTCTAATTGTTATTAACATCTTTCATTGTTTCACTTGCTTCATGTATAGATGGGACATTCTACATACTGTTAAATTTGCAGTATTTATATGCCTAAGATGTAAACCCATACCCACAAATTAAAATCCATTATATGAGAAGAACCAAGCTAGCCACTTTCTTCAATCATCCCCCATGCTTCCTTATGAACTTGTAACAGGTTTTGATCCGGTTGGCTACCTTCTTGCAAGGAGAAAATAATGACATGTTCTGATTTCCAATGTTGTTTATTCACAATGGAAAAATCAGAAAGATGCAAGAACTAGCTATCTTGCTTAATATTCATTCAGACTGCAGAATTCTCTATCAATTTGCAAATGTTGGTTGAATCTAAATTATAAGTATTATCCAAATGATGAAGATCTTCAGTCTCTATGGGTTTATCTTTATTTCAATACTGGTTTACAGTTTATGTTGTCTATTGCAATGGTTTGTTTCCCTTTGGAGGAGTTTCAGTCTCATATTCCGCATTGCAATAAACTGATTTTTTATTTGCAAATTGGCAAGAAACATTGCTCTAAGAGAATACCTATTGCTACACTAGAACTTGAAACTTTTCTTCTTCTGTATGGAAAGCCACAGGAAGTGGCGAAGTGCCAGACAAACACCTATCTAACTTTAGAAACTAAGTCTATTCTTCTGATGAAAGTAGAATCAAGGGTCCCACCTTAGCTTGTTGAAATGGTGACCTTTAGACCAGACGTGTAATGAGAAGACTTTCAAAGTCTCATGACTACATAATGACCCTTCATTTGTTGTTGGGTTTTTACCAAATTGGAATACTCGAGAAACTAACATCCATCAGTAAATTAACTTCATAGCAGAGTTTTTGGGCCTTTGTTTTAAGCTTATTGCCAACTCCTTTTTTACAAGGAAGCCACTAATATGTGGCATATCTTTCTGCAAATTAGCTATCAATTTGATTCTTGACTATTTCTGAAGTTCACTATTATCATAGAACTGTCCTCCAATAGAAAAGCTATATATTGATAGACAGGCATAACTGAGATATAATTCTATTATTTAATGGAAACTTTCAGCAGAAGAGGAGATTGGCTGCAGACCAACTCAAGCGACATGAATGGGCATACACCAGAAACCTTCTCTTCTCGACAAAGATCTGGAGACCAAATTGAGGTTGTGACTGAAACTCCAAAGTTTCATATTTATATTAACCTACATGGACACAAGATCATATGCATGTGCACATCAAACATCATTTTCGTAGATGTATGCATATTTTATTCCCAATATACAACATATAGTTTGCTCACAACTCAATAAAAAAAGTGGTTTTGAAACTGAAAATTAGGAAACGGATCGACATGGGATAATGACATTCTTGAATTATCACAGGAAAGCGATTTGACCCGGCCTAAAAGCTTTCTGGGGTCTCACTTGGAACTCAAAAACCCGAGCTTGGAATTCACCTTAGGCAGACCAGACTGGTGTGGTGAAGAACATGACTGAGCAGCAGGATTCAAATTGTCAATATTTTAATTAAGCTGCCATTCCATGTTTGGTTCTGTATTTCATCTGTTAGAAAAGAAACATATATAGATATATATAGAGAGAGAAATATATGGGCATACGCAAAAGAAGATGTTGATTTTGATTAAGAAATCATATCCTATTATTTCCATTTTAAATCTCACATCTACAACTACAAGCACCTTTTTTTTTCTTTCGAGTACGTGTACTTGGCAACACACAGCACTTTAATTTGAGTTATTAATTCCAAGAACAGAAGTTGAGAAAGAAGGAGAAGAACAAAGAAATGGAACCAGATCAGGTTTAACATATATGGGTGATCTTTTCTTTTACCATAACTATTTTCTTATGCAGTGTTTCATCTTTTTATGGGACCATGCCATTTTCGTTCGAATGTGTGAATGGCTGGAAGTATTAAGAACTCTTTATGTCGTCACACCTTCATTAGATGTTAACGCTGATACATATTCTTCACAGAAAAAGGTCGCAGCACATGGTGCAAAGAGGTGATTATCTGGTAAGTTCATATATATGAAATCCACATCCAATGGCACCATGTGCTCATGTATATTCTTCTGAGATTAGCTGCGTGCTTAGACCTCCCGTCCCATTTTCCCATCAAATTAATGGATTCTTTTGTTTGGCTTGCAACTCCACATGGTTGCTTTTATCTATGACTTTCTTGCCTCAAGTTGAGTTGTAAGGATCTATAATATAAAAGCTCCCTCTGAGAGTCTTGTTTTTCATTATATTTGAAGCTGTATACATGGTATTATGATCCAAACAAACTTGTAATTTTTGTGGGGAATCTACAGAGATTTTGGGGAGCATATACAGACTTATTACCCTGCTGTTCACCATGGATAAACCTCAGAACTGCAGCTTAATTACTCTAATCGACTGGATATTGTTTCATGGTGGGAGATGGAGCATATATGACATTGGTATTCTATTGTTTTTTCTGCATGCGGTGAGCTTCTCTGACTGTTATATATGGCTTAATTAGCTTACTTAGAGCTAGACATAGGAATACTAATACTTTCGAGCAAAAGGCCTTTGACCAGAGAGCCATTACTCATCTGGCCAGCCCAGTATCTCGGAGACTACTAACAAATCATTGACCTCCTATTATTGGCCTGGTGGATAATCTCAAATCTCTCCATTGTGGTGTATTAACAGTTAACACAATCCTGATTTTTAATTTTTTGACAGTTGACTCTAGTAACTGAGATAATTGAAAGTTTGCTTTAATTTTCCTCTCAAGAATGATTGTGAAAGTAGTGGGCAACTCAGCAACTCAGGCGTGTTGGACTAGAGGACCTCGAGCTTGGGCATGGCTCATTCCGAGCTTAGTTCAATAAAACTAGCGGGGAAACCCCTACTTCTTAGCGGCAAAATAGAAAAATGCCATTTGAAGATACAATAATAAATTAGGTTATATTTTTTTAAATAAAATAACTATAACTATATTATTATAAATAGTAAATAAGTATAGTGGGTTCCAATCTGGTTTAGGGTTGTCAATAAGTCAAGACTAAGTAGAACCAGTCTTGCACCAATTATTTAATTGGGATCAAATCGTAGACCTGATTATATTGAAACAATAGTTAAAATAATACTAATTTATTTTTATGTTAATAAGTTAAACATTTTTAACTAATATTATCTTATTTATTATTTATCAAATTTACTATTTCAAACATGAAACGTGATAAAAATTACAAGAAAGAAAAAATTATTTATTTCATAAAATATTTGGTTTCGGATTTGAATCGATTTTGGACAAGTAAGAACGAAAATCAATCCAATAATTAATCAGGACAAAATCATGGAACCAAAACCGTTATAATTATGTTCAGTCAATTTAGTTCCATCAAGATAGACCCAACCCATTGGTTCAGCCCTAGTTTTTCTTAAATAAATTAATCTCAAACTAGACCTGGCCCATTAACCTCCCTAAATATGGGCTCAGGGGGAGAATAATTTGTTAGTAAATTATTTTTAAATAAATAAATTACTTAGTAAAATAAATAAATGTTTATTAAAATCTTTCTCTCAATGTCACATCTCCTTTATTTTACTGATTTATTTTATTAAAATAAATAATTTATTTAATTTTATTAAATGAATAAATGTTTAGATAATAATAATAATAATAATAATAATAATAATAATAATAATAAATAAATGAATAAATAAAAATTGAGATATAGAATAGGAGAAGAGAGAGAGAATCAAGAAAGAAGATGGATGGCATTTTATTTATATGATAGTATAATCGTAAATAATTGTATGTGGCACTCCTATAATTTTTGAATGTCATAGAGTCAATTACATGAGGTTTGTCTTATATGTGGCACTCCTTTAATTTTTGAATATCATAGAGGCAATTATATGGCAAGGTAAAGAAAGTGCATTTGTCTTATATGTGGCATTTTTTAATTTTCAAATATTATAGAATCAATTATATAGGATGGGAGGTTTGTCTTATATGTGCCATTCTTGTAATTGTCAAATGGAAGAGTAAAGAGAGGTGGAATAGAAGAGAGAGAGAGAGAGAGAGAGAGAGAATAAAGGAGAGAAGGGAAGGAGAAACATGTGTCAATAATTTAGAGCATACTTGTCAAAGCAAGAGTAAATCACGTGTCAATTTCCAAATGTTGTTGTACATCTTCCTAATGCTTTAAGTATATAGTTATAGATTCGGACTAGACTTGGGCTCTAATTGGGTTGGGTCAGGCTTAGTCAGGTTTAAGGAGATTAGTTGGATTTGAAAGAATTTATGAAATATATTTTCATATAGCCTTTTTTCATTGGGTTGTACATCCAGTTTAAAAAAGTAGAATTGATTGAAAATAGGTATAAATTTCATTTACAAGTGTATGTATATATACATATCTTATGCATATAAACATGTACATTTTTTTAACCCCAAATATCCCCAGTGGAGGGGCGGCCACCGTTAAATTTTATTAAATGTATTTATACAATAATATACATGCATGTGTATATGATTAGGAAGAAGATGGTGTTGTATAAATACATGCATGTATATATGCAAGCTTTTGAAAGGCTAAAGGTGTAGTTGAGGTGTAATGATCCAAAATGGTGAAGCACATGCCTCAAAGAGTTGTGAGGCGTAAGCCTCAAAGCTTAAAAAAATAATTAAAGTTATAAGCAATAAGTTTCAACATTTAAGCATTAAATAAAATAATAACTAATCAACTAAAATTAAATCATAAACATTTTACATCCCATTTTCAAAAATGCAAATTTCTCAAATTATTCAAATGATAATTAAGAACTTGATTGACCCTTTTTACATTGAACTCTCTCCTAGAGCACCAAGAGAAACTAACAAAGTTGATTTGATCTATTGCTTTTCCATTTTTACTCCTTTTATTTGGTCCATGATTATTGATGTGCTTCTTTCATATATTTTAAACTATTAAAATGTATAAAATATATTTTTTGTATTAAATCACTAAATAATCATTGACACTTGAGGCTCATGCCTTTTTATGCCTCAAGCTACGCCTCACTCCTTGAAGCTTGAGGCTAATGCATCATTCTGACAAAGACTTAAGCCTTGAGGCAAAATCTGTGCATATCACCTTAAGGAATATGCCTCACACCTTAAAGACTTGAGCCTTTTGAAATGATGTATATATGTACTTGTTCAGATAAGCTAGGATTGGATTGGGTTGAGTTGGGCTCAGAACACCTGAGGCCTTAACCCAAGCACAGGCCCAAGTTTTCTTGCCCTGGCCCAATTGGGTTGGGTCAGGCTCAACTCTCAAGTCAGGCGTGGCCAAGTTGCAGACCTAATACAAAGCTGGCATAGCATTAACTTAGATAGCAGTGATTAGCACTCCACAGACAGTCCAAAGTATAGGAGTTCATAACGCCTGGTCACTTGAATCTCCTCCGAGATTGTTGAGTACAGGAGTAGTAGGAGCAATCCCGAGTCTCACCAATCTCACCTCTGAATTCTTGGGCGTCCTGTACATGCCTTCCAAACCTGCTACTGCCAGCAAAAATGGAAGTTTTCTTAGGATCCCTCTATGCTGATTGCTGAAGAATCAAATTGAGCTTTCTCTGTAAGCTAACATGGGCCCTAAGCCTTCTTGGGCCCATTGTAATCTTGAGTCTACCCCAAAGAACATTAATGGGAATAAAAGATCTGTCAGGCCTAGTGGATGTAACCGGCATAACACGCAACTGAGACCAGCCCAAACAACTTAATCCCATCTTCTGTTCGACCCACCCTCAGGCCCAAAGGCCATAGAAAATGGAACATGAGTTTAAATTTGAAAGTTGTACATCATCCGGCCAATGCAGATGCAGCCTATCAATATCAAAGTCTCCACCCTGCTAGGGTCATCATCTCCTCCACTCTCACCTTCTCTCTAAACCCCCCTACGACGTCTTCTCCGTCTCCGGTGAGTGAAAACACCATGTTGGATAAAACTTTTGACGAGGGAAGCCAATGGAAATGCTTCCTAATGCTGCTAGTTGCCATGACAAAACCCATATGGAAGGCCTAGGACAATAGGAACCAACATGCTCTAAGCCATAGGAACCCTACTGTCGTGGCCTGGTGGGAAGAATCCATTAGATAAAGTATTGCCAAAAAAAAAAAAAAAAATTATCTGCCATTGAATATCTAGGGATGTTCACGGTGCAGTTTAGAGAAGATTTCAGATTAAACCAGTAAATTATGGCTTAAGAAATTTACAAATCAAAATAAACCGTTTTATTACGGTTTGGTGCAGTTTTTAATACGGTTTGGGGAATTTTGGACCATTCTTTGATTCTATTGAGCTTAACCCAATTAGAGAGCTCAAATAGCACATCTAAAAATTAAAACTTAAAACTTTTATTTTAGCGAAAATCTATGATACAGAAAAGATATGATATGGAAAGAGTTTTGACCAATCAAAATCCACCCATGAAATAACACCTGATTGGCTATCATGTTTATGATTTCAGTTTATTGGTCAGTTATTTTTCGGATATCATATATTTTCCATATCATAGTCAAACCCTTTATTTTATTATTTTATTATAAAATAAAAGAATTTATTATATATATATATACATCATTTTGGCCACTGGTTTTTGGGTTGATGGTCCAATTGCTCAGTTTGAACGGATGGCCCATGCTGACAACAAAAATTAAAAAAATAAAAAAAAAAAACAACCAAAAACCATTGAACGGGTCAATGGTTTGACCGCCCAGGTACGAGTAGATTCCCACGTGAGAGCAACTCATTTCCTATTAATTATATAAATATTGTTAGTATAAT